CCCCATTTTATCCAGCCACAACAGTTATCGAAGAACCTACGAAGGGTTTCTCATTCCAAAGGTTCAGATATAGTTTTCAAGGGAATTTTATACAAGCATTTGGTGAGAAATTCTGTTTAGTCAGTTGGGTTGGATTGTGTTATCTGTGTGCTGGAAACAGAGCTGTAAGATCACCTCAAAGAAAGCAGACAGTAAGGACATCCCCTAAGCTCCAGCCACAACAGTTATCGAAGAACCTACGAAGGGTTTCTCATTCCAAAGGTTCAGATATAGTTTTCAAGGGAATTTTATACAAGCATTTGGTGAGAAATTCTGTTTAGTCAGTTGGGTTGGATTGTGTTATCTGTGTGCTGGAAACAGAGCTGTAAGATCACCTCAAAGAAAGCAGACAGTAAGGACATCCCCTAAGCCCTCCAATGTCTAGTGGAGCACACAGACTCCTACATCACTTTAATGGCAGCAGCATTTTCATGGCTAGGCAGCTTTGCCAACATGGATGGAGTGAGGAGGGCAGAGCCATGGCTGTCTCACCTCCACCCCTTCCCTTACCATCTGAGGAACTCCCCCTGCCCCCGAGGAGTAATTAGGACCACAATTCTGCCCAAGCTTCACATGTGCCATGCAAGTCAAAGGAGGTTCCTTCTTTCCCTCTCAGATACAGAAACTGGTACCACACCAGAGCTATGCAGAATCCAGAACAGCTGATTCAGAATGTGGAGCAAGACTACATCACAATTTAGGGCAGATGATGAAGACTGTTGTGTATCACATAAAAAGTCATATGTGGGTCCTGCTTACCAGCTCTGGGATGGAAATTTCCATCCCTGCTGTACCCAGCTTAGCATAGCCTGGGGCCCGCAAGCACAAACATCAGCAGGGCTTTATCAGCTCTAACCCATGGTGGGGGGGGAGTCTGTTTTTGGACTGGCTCTGTTCAATATCTTCATCAACGATTTAGATATTGGCATAGAAAGTACACTTATTAAGTTTACAGATGATACCAAGCTGGGAGGGCTTGCGACTGCTCTGGAGGATAGGGTCATAATTCAAAATGATTTGGACAAACTGGAGAAATGGTCTGAGGAAAACAGGATGAAGTTTAATTAAGACAAATGCAAAGTGCTCTGCTCTGGAGAATAGGGTCATAATTCAAAATGATCTGGACAAATTGGAGGAATGGACTCAGGTAAACAGGATGAAGTTTAATAAAGACAAATGCAAAGTGCTCTACTTAGGAAGGAACAATCAGTCTCACACATACAGAATGGGAAGCGACGATCTAGGAAGGAGTACGCCAGAAAGGGATCTAGGGGTGATAGTGTACCACAAGCTGAATACGAGTCAGCAGTGTGATGCTATTGTAAAAAAAGCAAACATGATTCTGGGATGCATTAACAGGTGTGCTGTGAGCAAGAAACGAGAAGCCATTCTTCCGCTCCACTCTGCGCTGGTTAGGCCTCAGTTGGAGTATTGTGTCCAGTTCTGGGCACTGCATTTCAAGAAAGATTTGGAGAGGGGCCAGAGAAGAGCAACAAGAATGGTTAAAGGTCTAGAGAACATGACCTATGAAGGAAGGCTGAAAGAATTGGGTTTGTTTAGTTTAGAAAAGAGAAGACTGAGGGGAGAAATGATAGCAGTTTTCAGGTATCTAAAAGGGTGTCATAAGAAGGAGGGAGAAAACTTGTTCATCTTGGCCTCTGAGGATAGAACAAGAAGCAATGGGCTTAAACTGCAGCAAGGGAGGTTTAGGATGGACATTAGGAAAAAGTTCCTAACTGTCAGGGTAGTCAAACACGAATAAATTTTCCAGGAGGTTGGGGAATCCCCATCTGTGGAGATATTTAAGAGCAGGTTAGATAAATGTCTATCAGGAATGGTCTAGACAGTATTTGGTCCTGCCATGAGGACAGGGGACTGGATTCGATGACCTCTCGAGGTCCCTTCCAGTCGTAGTATTCTATGATTCTATGATTCATGCCTTGAGCTGGGAAACTACTAAGTGGTAAACAAGTTTGACCTCGGTCTCAGCTCATAAAAGTGACAAGAATGGCGTTGAGCCAGTACGCACACACCTGTAAACAACTGGGCTGTGTCTACACTGGGCCACTTATTCTGGAAAATCAGCCGCTTTTCCAGAATAAGCTGCGAGCTGTCTACACTGGCCCTTGAATTTCCGGAAAAGCAACGATGCTCTACTGTACAAAATCAGCCGCTATTCCAGAAAAACTATTCTGCTCCCGCTCAGGCATAAGTCCTTATTCCAGAACACTGTTCCGGAAAAGGGCCAGTGTAGACAGCCCAGTAGTCTTTTCCGGAAAAAAGCCCCGATCGCGAAAATGACGATCGGGGCTCTTTTCTGGAAAAGCGCGTCTACGTTGGCCACAGATGCTTTTATGGAAAAAGGGCTTTTCCGGAAAAGCAGCCTGCCAATGTAGACGCTCCTTTTCCGGAAAAACTTAAAACGGAATAGTATTCCATTTTAAGCAGTTCCGGAAATTCATGACAGTGTAGACACAGCCCTGTAGTATAACTAGTGTAGGGAGTCCCGTGCCACGTGAGTCTCACCAAGGATCTAGACCTCGGCAGGTGCCCTGGATTCCCCCCCAGCTGGAGCCACACCAACTGCGGCCTAGTGCAAGGTGACAGAAATGGGATTCCTCGCAGACTGAATGGGCATAAGCATTTCCAAGTGCCTGTTACTCTCGTTTATGCATAGCTCTGCCTATGCTTATTGACATATTACTTTGCAGTAGCTGTGAAACCATCTGGCAGTATTAAACCTGTAGTAGTAGTGACGTAGTGAGATTAATAAAAGCAACTATCCCTAACTGACTCTGTCTTGAAATGAATCCATAATCCTGTTTGGCCATGGCCCTGTGAATTGACATTGTGTACATGTGAAACTCCAAAGGAGATACAGGGAGGTAGAATGTAATTACTAGAACTAGAAATTGACCAGGTGACAGGCACAGACGTCCTGATCTGGACAAAATGTGTGTCTAGATCCATGACCAGAAGTCAGTATTTCAGTTTTCATGAATAAGCCAGGAGAGAATAGGATCCCTACTGCCATGTTGGATTAGGAGTTCCATATTGACTCAGGCCAAACTGCCCACTTACTGTGTGATGTTCTGTTTGAGAAGCTTAGACCCTAAAGGCACAATCCCTGGTACCACAAATTAATCTA